AAGTACCTCTAGCGGAACAAAGAATAGACGAAACTTTACAACATAAGGACCGCTAGCGGAACAAAGAATAGACGAAACTTTACAACATAAGGACCGCTAGCGGAACAAAGAATAGACGAAACTTTACAACATAAGGGCCGCTAGCGAAAAAAGGCGATATAAAAATCTTTACAGAATAAGGACCGCTAACGATATAAACAATAGATTAATGTTTACAACATTAGGACCACAGGTATATAAACAATATATTAATGTTTACAACATTAGGACCAGAGGTATATAAACAATAGATTAATGTTTACAACATAAGGACCACAGGTATATAAACAATAGATTAATGTTTACAACATTAGGACCACAGGTATATAAACAATAGATTAATGTTTACAACATTAGGACCACAGGTATATAAACAATATATTAATGTTTACAACATTAGGACCACTAACGATATAAACAATATATTAATGTTTACAACATTAGGACCACTAACGATATAAACAATATATTAATGTTTACAACATTAGGACCACAGGTATATAAACAATAGATTAATGTTTACAACATTAGGACCACAGGTATATAAACAATATATTAATGTTTACAACATTAGGACCACTAACGATATAAACAATAGATTAATGTTTACAGTATATGGACCAGTGACGATATAAACAATATATTAATGTTTACAACATAAGGACCACAGGTACATAAGTTTTAAATTGTTTGTTTCCTACAGTGACGGATTAGTGAAGATGTTAAGTGCTGTGTACGCTAAGCTATTAGTGGTGATGGGTTTGTGTTTTCCACTAGCTGAAGTGATATCACACAAAATTCCAACTTCTTACTATGAGGTAAGTGTTTCACCAATAATTATATACTTTTCATTAAGTGTGGATTTTAAGGACTTGATGTAACAAAAACCCCAGGTTAACGATTAACAGATAATAAATGTAATTAAAACCGTGGAATAGTGTACCAAAAACCTAAGTTCTTGAGGTTAAGAAAGTAACAGTTACTAAGTGTAATTAAAGTCATAGAACAGTGTAAAACCTATGCTCTTCAGGTTAACAAAATAACAGTTGTTAAATGTAATTAAAGTCATGGAATAATGTAAAACCTAAGCTCTTCAGGTTACCAAAGTAACAGTATGACTTTAATAACACTTAACATCTGTTACTTTGTTAACCTGAAGAGCTCAGGCTTTACATAATTCCATGACTTTAATTACACTTAACAACTGTTACTTTGTTAACCTGAAGAGCTCAGGTTTTACATTATTCCATGACTTTAGTGACACTTAACATCTGTTACTTTGTTAACCTGAAGAGCTTAGGTTTTACATTATTCCATGACTTTAATTACATTTAACAACTGTTATTTTGTTAACCTGAAGTGCTTAGGCTTTACATTATTCCATGACTTTAATGACACTTAACAACTGTTACTTTGGTAACCTGAAGTGCTTAGGCTTTACATTATTCCATGACTTTAATGACACTTAACAATTATTCCATGATTTTAATGACACTTAACAACTGTTATTTTGTTAACCTGAAGTGCTTAGGCTTTACATTATTCTGTAAGGCCTACGCTCTTCAGGTTAACAAAATAGCAGTTGTTAAGTGTCATTAAAGTCATGGAATAATGTAAGGCCTACGCTCTTCAGGTTAACAAAATAACAGTTGTTAAGTGTCATTAAAGTCATGGAATAATGTAAGGCCTAAGCTCTTCAGGTTAACAAAGTAACAGTTGTTAAGTGTCATTAAAGTCATGGAATAATGTAAGGCCTAAGCTCTTCAGGTTAACAAAGTAATAGTTGTTAAGTGTCATTAAAGTCACGGACTAATGTAAGGCCTAAACTCTTGAGGTTAACAACGTAACAGTTGTTAAATGTAATTAAAGTCGTGGAATAATGTAAAACCTAAGTTCTTGAGGTTAACAAAGTAACAGTTGTTAAGTGTCATTAAAGTCACTGACTAATGTAAGGCCTAAACTCTTGAGGTTAACAACGTAACAGTTGTTAAATGTAATTAAAGTCGTGGAATAATGTAAAACCTAAGTTCTTGAGGTTAACAACGTAACAGTTGTTAAGTGTAATTAAAGTCGTGGACTAGTGTAAAACCTAAGTTCTTTAGGTTAGGTGATACTACCATTGGTGCTCAAGCTGCTACAACTGTTGTCTCTTGGTAACGGTAACACACGTTTGAACACCTTTTTTAAAAAGAAACCAGCAGTGATGCTGAACCTGGATTTTCTCTTGTTTCCTTGGCGTAAAACAAATATGTAGACATAGAGCAAGAACAAGATACTTCCACAATAGAGATACAAGTAGAATACCTGAAATAATCATACATATATATATCTATTGAAATAAATCATAACCTGAAGAGCTTAGGTTTTACACTAGTCCACGACTTTAATTACATTTAACAACTGTTACGTTGTTAACCTCAAGAGTTTAGGCCTTACATTAATTCCATGACTTTAATGACACTTAACAACTGTTTCTTTGGGACAGAAAAAAAAGTTTGAACATGCTTCACACTGCGGCAGTTTTTACCTTCGCCTCGGTGCTGTAGGTAAGCTGGATTCGAGGGTTGTTTTCAGAGTAATCTAGATAACTGTAATTTAAGCGCCGAAAATCACATTGAGATGTCTTGAACGTGTTTAAAATCCTCAAAAAAATTCAACATTTTTCATCCCGGACACATAATTGCTGCTTGTAATCCTTAATCTCGGATTAGATAAACAACGAATTAAGTTATCATTATATTTTTAGTACTTATGTTTCAGGTTCAAATATGTTACACTCTCCGTACTTATGTTTCAGGTTAAAATACGTTACACTTTCCGTACTTATGTTTCAGGTTAAAATACGTTACACTTTCCGTACTTATGTTTCAGGTTAAAATACGTTACACTTTCCGTACTTATGTTTCAGGTTAAAATACGTTACACTTTCCGTACTTATGTTTCAGGTTAAAATACGTTACACTTTCCGTACTTATGTTTCAGGTTAAAATACGTTACACTTTCCATACTTATGTTTCAGGTTAAAATACGTTTCACTTTCCATACTTATGTTTCAGGTTAAAAATACGTTACACTTTCCGTACTTATGTTTCAAGATAATTGTTATCCTTTTAATACTTAGTTAAGATAACCTCTTCAGTATTTGTATAATTAAAGGTCAATGTTCTGAAATATACACAATCATATCCATTTTTTTCTTCGTTTATAAATACTTTTATTTTTCAGCATTTGGTATTGGTAGCATGATCTATTCTGCTCTGGAATTTGGACAGTTTTTTGAAATAGATTCAAGCTCTCCTTGCTACAATCTCTTGTACGGACTTACTCCCTGTACTCGAATGACATTCACTTTTATCCAGATGTATTTCATATTTCTAAACTCAAGGGTAAGTGTTACATTGTTATCAGTGTTGTTACATTATTATCTGTCTGTTGTTATATTGTTATCTGTCTGTTGTAACATTATTATCTGTGTTGTTACATTATTATCTGTCTGTTGTTACATTGTTATCTGTCTGTTGTTACATTGTTATCTGTCTATTGTTACATTGTTATCTGTCTGTTGGTACATTATTATCTGTCTATTATTACATTATTATCTGTCTGTTGTTACATTGTTATCTGTCTATTGTTACATTGTTATCTGTCTGTTGTTACATTATTATCTGTCTGTTGTTACATTGTTATCTGTCTGTTGTTACATTGTTATCTGTCTATTGTTACATTGTTATCTGTCTGTTGTTACATTA